GTACTCTCAGAGATAATGAATTCTTTTGCAAAGTCCATTGAGGTGATGGGAGATGGTTGTCTCAATGATGAACACTTGGAAGAACTGGGAGGAATTTTGAAGGCAAAGCTTGAAGGGCACTTTAAAAACCAAGAGTTGCGGCAAGTAAAAAGGCAGGAAGAGAATTATGATCAACAGGTAGAAATGTCTCTTCAGGATGAAGATGAATGTGATGTTTATATTCTGACCAAAGTATCAGATATCTTGCACTCATTATTTAGCACTTACAAGGAGAAGATTTTGCCATGGTTTGAACAGCTACTTCCTTTAATTGTGAATCTAATTTGTTCAAGTAGGCCATGGCCAGATCGACAGTGGGGATTGTGCATATTTGATGATATCATAGAGCACTGCAGCCCAACCTCATTCAAATATGTTGAGTATTTTCGGTGGCCAATGCTACTCAATATGCGAGATAACAACCCCGAAGTCAGGCAAGCTGCTGCTTATGGACTGGGTGTTATGGCACAGTTTGGTGGAGACGATTATCGTTCTTTATGTTCAGAAGCTGTTCCACTGTTGGTAAAGGTTATTAAGTGTGCAAATTCCAAAACGAAAAAAAATGTCATTGCTACAGAGAACTGTATCTCAGCAATAGGAAAGATTATGAAGTTCAAGCCCAATTGTGTGAATGTAGATGAGGTTCTCCCACACTGGCTGTCATGGCTCCCGCTGCATGAAGATAAAGAAGAAGCTATTCAGACTTTGAATTTTCTCTGTGACCTAATTGAAAGTAACCACCCAGTTGTGATCGGTCCCAATAATTCCAATCTTCCCAAAATCATCAGTATAATTGCAGAAGGAAAAATTAACGAGACTATTAGCCACGAAGACCCCTGTGCCAAACGCCTAGCTAACGTTGTTCGACAGATACAGACTTCTGAAGAATTATGGTTGCAATGTATATCCCAACTTGATGAAGACCAGCAGGAAGCTTTACAAGAATTACTCAATTTTGCTTGAAGCACTTTACTATCACTTGAATATCAGCTATCATAAAAATAACTACAAAGTTTTGTGAGTGGATCCTTACAAATGAGAGATACCATTTCTCTCTGCTAAGCAGTTCATACTTCAGGATTAGTGTTAAGGTCTTCTGTTTATTTTGCATGTGTCATCTCTTAAAGAAACTGTGGTTGTAACTTGTGCTTCCAGTCAGTTGTCCTAAGAGTTCTCTGTCACCTTCCCCCTATTTAGTGTAAATGTATATAAATCATTGCTATTTGTCTGAACTTTTGATGCTGGGTAAACGGTATACTTGGTGCCAAGATGTCTGTGACTGTCACAAGATGTAAAAGAGCTCATAAAGAAAGGGAAACTTCCAGGATAAGCATCTTTGGAATTGAGGGTCGAGTATATTGGCAGACTTACTCTTCCTTGGTACTCTTCCTTGGTAATACTTCTGTTTGTTATGGTACTGGAAGGATGCTAGACCTGAAAAAGTTTCAAGGTACTGCAGTGGATGTAGGAGTTTTTTTTTCTATAATATAAATGAACCTTTTCATGTAGAACTCCTGTAAAGGGGTTGGAGCATGACTAAATTCCAATTTACAGGGTGTCCGGTTGAGAGGTACAAGAATTTAACCAAATTGGTCTTTAAAAAATTATCTAGAATTGAAATGGTGTGGAGGAGGAAGAGCTGATACATCTAACCCTGAAAGCATGGGATAGACTTGAACAGAGCTTAATAAATAATAGTCAATGTTTGTGGGAGTCCGTTATTGTTACATGTTTTAGCTGAGTGTTTATATGTAATACCCCCCTATCCCCCACACTAAACAAGAAAGGAAACCTTTATTCAGAATAAGGGAATAAATAGATTTCTGTTTTGAAGCAGTTCTTAACAGATTCTACAGAAACAGTGAAACAAACTTAATTTCATCTTTAAACATTTAAAAAATGAGCTTTAAGACTAGTCATGTATCAGTGTATTGTTTTACAAAACAACTCTGAATTTAGGGTTAATTGTATTAACTGAAATGTCTTTACTGTTGAAGGTGTTTTGTAGAGTAGAAAAAAGTTTCTACTTAACAAACTTCACTCAAAACTTACAAACAAGAATGTCTGTTGTGATTTCCTGAGCCTGTTGTGTTGTGTATGTAATGGAGCAAATATGTCAGACCCAGTAAGTGCTCAATAAAGTGTCAGTGTTACTACTGTTGGTTGTTCTTCTACTGTGTTCTTTTTCATGCTTTAGAATTTGGTTTACAAATTTCCCTCCCTACTAGGTCTATCTAGACTACTGTAGACAGGGATATAAAGTTAGATTTTTAGATAGTTCAGAATTTGATATATAGTATGGTTACAAGTGTATTTAAAATAAATAGCTAGCTACCTTGAAGTTTAATAGTTTTCTGTGGGTGGTGGGATTAAATGGCAACTTTTCTATAAATTAAAATTACATACAAACAACGTATTTCTCATATAATAAAGTGTTTTTTTTGTAAAGTTCAAGGACCTCATTTACTATCATTTTGACCTCTTCATGAACTGGAGTTAAGGTTCCTTCTACTTACTGAGCTCTTTCTCTGTGTGGCCTAAGAAATCTTTCATCAGTATGTTGCTTGCAGGTCATATAGTCTTGTGAAACTGGCAAATGATTTGTAATTGGGTACTTGGAGTTTTGAAGTAAGAGAGAGTTTAAATTTGAATTTTGATTTTTCTAAGTGTTTGTTTCCCTACCTGCAAGATGAGGATAATATGTTGTTTATGTGGTGGTTGTCTTAATGAAAGGAGACAATGAATATAAAGTGCTAAGCAGCAGAAGGGTCAGTAAATGGAAGCTATTGTGTGAGAATTTTGAAATAGGTCTGGTGGCTAAAAGGGAGTGGGCATTTGCTTGAGTTTGGTAGGCTTTTAGATGCTTGGGTTTTGTCAAAGGAAATGAAGGAAGCCCAACCAGACATATTTGCCAGTTGCTGTAGTAGAACTGGTCCTTACCTTTTTTCCTCATGAGCTGAAGTATGTCTGACAGAGAGAAAACCAAAAATGCCAGATGAGTACGTTATGTGTGAAGGAGAGTGTAACTACTCTAAAAACTCATGTTCTTGTTTCAGTATTTTTGCTACAAAAGATATATAGCTTTCTGAACTCCCTACAAAAAAAGTTTTAAGGCACTACATTTTATCAGTCCTTTAAACGTCTTTATGCAGAAGTAAACAATCTTGAAGGTGAGATCTCAACCATTTATAAATTTCATGTTCAAATTGCACTTCTATAGTTTCGATTTTATGTATCATTCCAAGTTTCAAACAAGTAAGTCTGAATATCACATGCATTAGAAAACAGTAATAACTATTTTGGGGCTCATTAATTTCCCCCTCATTTTATGCAACGTGAACTAATGTGAATGATGAGTCCACTTTTTTTAGTTACTTTAAAAATAAAAAAATGTAGCAAGATTGTTAAAGTCACACCAATGACAAGCTGTACAGCTTAGAGTAGAAATATTTGGAGTTTTTTTGTTTTTTTTGTTTTTTTTTCTTAAGCGAGATTGCGTTCTCTTTAGCCGAACTCAAGAATCCAGGTGTTTATCGGTTTTAACATTTCAATAGAACACAGGATTCGGTTTTTAAAAAACTGTTAACTGGGAGCTGGAGTTTCGAGAACTAGAGCTCTACAATCCTCCACTCTTGTGAAGTCCTTAAACTTCCTTTCTAATCTTTCCCAAACGCTAGTTTTATGAGAAAAAAAGACCGGCGGTCACAAGGGAGGACGGGTGCAAAGATGCTAGTTTACAACGGAGAGGTTTACTTTTGTGCATTCTCGTACCTAGGTCACCTAGCGGATGCTTTGAGAAAACTAATATTAAAATATTTTTTAGGACCAGTAAGGGTCTCCCAAAAGCAACCTTGATGGGCTACCCGAGTGTGTGCAGCGCGCGCAGGCGCTCTGCTACTCCCTCCGCCCCTCCCCTCGCAGAAGTCCGCATGTTGATGACATCATTGGCCCGCCTCCGGAGGCCGGCGGTGGAGCCAAGCCCTGGCTTTGGCGTCGCAGGGCGGGACGAAAGGGGGCGGGGCCACTTGGGCCACTACGCATGCGCGCCGCGAATGGCGA